CACCATCGGTTCGATTTTTTTTGCCCCAATCGGTTCGATTAACCGCTATTTTCGATTTTAACAGTTCGGATTGCCATCCCTAAGTAATACTATCTAGAATTAGTGGTACTAAAGTACCAATTTAGATGATCGCCCTTAATAAGTTCAACAAAATGAATCATATGACATAACATTTGAGTGAATCTATCATTTAGTATTATGTAATTACCACGTATATTGTTACTTGATACCAATCGTACCGAATAGAATTGCTCTTTTCACATAATCAACAATTTGAAGACGTTATTGCCTCAAACAATTCTCACCATCCCAGAATTTGTAAATTTAACGGGGTTACTACATACCTCGATTCGTCAATCTATTCGGAACTTTATAAAGATTTGCTTATCATAAAATTAAGGGAAAATTGCAGCAGTGATCCTTAACCCTTCACTTTTTTGTAGAATTTACCACAGCTTACAGTTTGTGCCAACGGTGGTCTCAAACCTTTGAGAAATTAGCAGTTTGGGTCCAAATGAATGGACATTTAATTGATCAAGAAAAGTAGATTTTGACTATTTTTTTACTAAATTCAAAGGGATAAAAATGGTAATTTTAAAATTACCACGTTGAATAAACAATCGAAAAATCTGAAAAAAAAAATAATAAGAAAAGAAACAAAAAAGTTATCTTCTTCTTCGCCACGCCACGCTACGCTACCCCACCGTACGCTACCCTACCCCCCTTCCCCGACCCCGTCCTTTAAAATCTACCACAATCACTACCGTCGTCGTGGCCGTCAGTCAACTTCAACACCACTGCCGACAAAAAAAACTCTAGCAACATGTTTTCTATATCTTGAATTGTCTAGGCTATGATTGAAAAATCTAGAAAATCACTCGGATTTCATTTCTTCAAAAGGTAAATACTTTGGCCTTAGATCGAATGAATATTTGATACAAAAGATGAAGTATTGGTAGTGTGGACTTTGTATTTATACTAAAAAATCAGCAACCACCACCATCAAATATTGATTTCGGGGCGATGGTGTTGTTATTAGTTAACTAAAGTTGACGTTAGGGTGGTGCTGGTGTCGGCGGTGGGTGGCCGTGGTGGTCGTTGATTTTCAAGGGTGGGGGTGGGGTGTCGTAGGGTGGAGATTTTTTTATTATTTTTTTTGTTTTTGTTTTTACAGAGTTTTCAATTTTTTTGTGTTATTTAATGTAGTATTTTAAAGGATAATTAGCATATAACGTCCCCAACTTTTATTATTATTGTGGAAAATTTTAAATTTTCACCCTTATTTCCAACTTTCATAGCGTAAAAAGTCATTTTCATCCATTTTCTCAATTAATTAATGACGAAAATACCATTTCCTTTAAATAAAACAAAAGAAAAAAGAAAAAAATTAATTGCAATCATAGTCCCAATTTTTTTGAAAAGCACAAATGAGTCCAAAATAAATTATTAAAAGGGTAATTAGTACATGGGAAATGCTATGTGTACATAATGTCCTTATTTTTCACAAGAAAAAAGAAAAAAATTAATTGCATTCATAGTCCCAATTTTTTTAAAAAAGCACAAATGAGTCCCAAATAAATTATTAAAAGGGTAATTAGTACATAATGTCCCTATCTTTCACCTTTATTGCGGAAAACATCCATACTTTTAATTTTTTTTGGCATTTTCATCATTAATTACACTTTTGATTGTGCAAACCATCATTTTCATCCATTTTCATCCAATTTCTCAATAAAGAACTGTGAAATAATGAATGTACCCTCATACTTAAATAAAAAATATATTTTTTTTAATTTCTATTTCTTTAATAATTTATTTGGGACTCGTTTGCACATTTTAATTTTTTCAATTTTTAAATAAATTTAATTGGGACTAGTTTGCACTTTTCATAAAAAAATAAATTTTTTAAATAATTTATTGGAGACTCGTTTGTACTTTTTTTAAAAAATTTGGATTATAATTGTAATTAATTCTTTAGCTTTTAAATTTAATAAGAGGATATATTCGTCATTCCACTTTTTTTATTGAGAAATTGGATGAAAATTGATAGAAATGATAGTTTGCTCTATCAAATTATAATTAAGAGAGAAAATGTCAAAAAAATAAAAGGTATGAAATTTTTCGCAATAATAATTAAAGGTAGAGATATTATGTGCTAATTACCCTTTTAATAATTTATTTGAGACTCGTTTGTACTTTTCAAAAAAGTTGGGACTATATTTACAATTAATTTTTTCTTTTTCCTTTTGTTTTATTTAAAAGGAATGGTATTTTCATCATTTCACAATTTTTAATTGAGACAATGGATAAAAATGACATTTACGCAATGAAATGTTGAAATAAAAGTGAAAATACCAAACAATGAAAGGTATGGATGTTTTTTTCACAATAACATTGAAATGTGGGGACTTTATGTGCTAATTTCCCCATTTTAAAGTTACAATTTTATCCATTTCAATTTAAACAAAATTAGTCAAAGTCTACTTTTTTTGGTTAACTAACGGCCAAATAGATTTCATTCATTTGGATCTCAACTGCTAATTTCTCAAAAGTTTGGGACCAACGTTGACACAAATTGAAGATTAGGATAACGTTTATAAAAAAAGTGAAATTTTAGGGCCGTTGCTGCAATTTTCCCTAAAATTAAAATTTAAAACCCTTGTAAAACCCCAAGAATTCGTGCAAACTCACGCTTCTCTCGACTGGCCACACCTACAGACATGCGTCACCTCCTCTCCACCTTCTACCGCTCCAACCTCTGCCGACACTTACTCCAGTACGCCAATTATAAGCTGCCGAAGCCTCAGGCACCACCCTCCCCACCGTAGTCGCCGAAGCCCCCCAAAGAAACCGACTACTTTGAGCCTCCACGGGGAGACGTGGGAGGACCCTTATGGCTGGATGTCTCGATTGCATGACAAGGTGGCGATGAGACACATGGATGTATATATGGAGCAGGAGGAGAAGTTTACGGAAGCAATAATGTCCGATACAGAACGCCTCCAGTCCAAGCTCCAATCGGAAATGGCCTCTCGCCTCGCCGCCTGTTGGGAATTTACTTAATCACGCACAGCGGAAATAAAATAATTTTCAATTCCCAAACGAGGATCTGCAATGTGTTTAGATAGAAACTGTGATTAGAACTATACCTTTAATGAATTCTATAAAACCCTTTGCTGATTCACGTACTCCAATGATCACGATCTGCATTCCAAGCTGTCCAATTGTTCAGCCTCCAATGGTGATCCACACAGAGAACAAGAATGACGGCTAGAGTTTCTTTTCTTGTGCTAGCAAGAATAATAAAAAAATCCATACTGTTTTCAAACCCTAGTAGTTTATTAATATTAGTCCAAATGGGCTCGGCCCATCTATTAAACTTAACCCGATCCAATATTTAATTAATCAAATTAATTAAATCCGGTCCATGAATTAATTAATCCAATTAATTAATTCGGGCCTATTAATAAACAACTCAATTAATTAATTATCCAACACTTGTCAATTAATTAATTGGTAAATCTCATTCTTCTGATTCTCTTTTGTGTGTGACCCATTAGGTTCCCGATCACGATGCCGAACGACGTGAATTATTATTTTGATCTAATCAAAATCGATAAATTAAAACGCCCCTTTTAATTTATCACTAATTCATTTTCGTTGTCCCAGATTGACATCTAGCAATGTATCAGGGCAATACATGTGACGGGAAATATCACGTAGCATGACAAAACCAAACTTGTTCGTTTACCGTGAAACTATAATCCTTTCGTCAATATGATCCGATCAATTATGAGATATGGATATGTGTCAATCTCAATTATCGATCATATCTTTTATCCCACTGTTAAGTCAATGTACGTCGAAAACTCTTTTCCGACTTATGAGTTCACCTTGGCCAAGGATTTCATTATTAACTTAACTGGATAAAATGTAGATCATAATCTCTTACTATCTAAGAGTGACGAATCCTCTATTGATCATTCACAACCTTCATATGATTCTTGACATACCCGAACGATGCTGTATTAGCGACCCTTGACAGAGCAACATCCAACACCACCAAAGTATGTCTGCCCTCATATAAGGTACTATGATGACCTCAAGTCAAAGGACCAATTCCACTACCGAACGTTAGAGATTAACCACTAACACTTAGATAGTTATCCATGTGGAATCTCTCAGCGGGTCTCCAATGTTTTGTTCTATAACAAAACATCCACGTGTTCATTCAAGTGTCACCACACTTTAGCTTGTGAGATCAGCTACTTACTTCACAAGTAAGAATGCCACACGCGATAGTCTATCCGTAATAACGATATCCGTATCTCGTTATTATCTCGATCACGGACGATTTAAGATTCAGTCATATGTAATTTGTATCTCACAATCACAACTCTTTGTGATTAACAAATCACCAAGACTTGAATCTACGGATTCTATTATTTAATTTATTAGAATATTAATTCAATTAAATAATAGATATTGCCATATTTATGCATTGATTATATATATTCAAAATGTTTATGTCCAAAGTTGATTAGACCTAGGGCATAACACTTACACCACCCACCTTTCTACCCCTCCCCTCCGCTGGGCCCCTGGTAATTTACAGTTTCTATTATTTGTTTCTGCTTCTATTTGATTGCTTGAGGGTATGTGCGAATTTTAAATTCTAACCTCCTTCGTGCAAAAAATAAAAATAAAACTAAATAAATAGGTTAGAGCGTGTTCTTGAATCTGGATGTTGCATTACTTTAAAATTTGAAGATAGGAATGTTGAGGATAAGCTAATTCATGGATTGGATAGGGATTTTATTTGGTTGGTGCCATGTGAAGTTGCTTGCTCACATTTTATTTTTGACACTGGCATTGAGTAGAATATGAATTTACTGAATGTTTCCAAGAAAGAAATTTCGTTTCTTGAGGGCACAGGTAAGAAAAATCATTTTCATTGCCGATCAATTAAAATTTTGAAATACGTCATTTTCTTAAGAAGTATGCAGATGCTATATGATTTAGACATTTATATGAGAATTGCACTAGTAGAAGTTAAGGTAAAAAATTTTTAAAGCAAGAACCTAAAGAGTGATCTTGTTATTCATCGAGTACCGTTGATGATTTTTTCCTTTGAACCTGGCATGGAGTGTTTATCTTGTTTTATTGGTCATGCAGTGCAGGCTGTACCATAGGCTAGTTGAAGAAGGAAAGCAATATCCAGTATTATGTCGAAGATTAGCAAGCTTGAATGAAGAGTTTATATCTCATAAATCCTCATCAGCTGGGTTTGATTTCACTTCCGGTAAGAGAATAGAGCAGAAGCTGCTTGATTACAATCAAGATGCTGAAAGATTTGGAGGTATTGAATTATTTCTTTAGTTCTCTTTTATACTTACTGTTTGCATTATTTTCTTTACATTTGGTGGTATGTATCTTTTATTGAGTTAATTCCAGGTTATGCATACGAGGAATTATCAGAAGTGTCACCTGATCACCGGCATCTTGCATACACTATGTATGATAAGGACAATGATTGCTTTAAATTGTTTGTAAGAAACTTGGATTTTGGTTTGCTGTGTAGCAAGCCTCAAGCTGACCGGGTTTCTAACATAGCTTGGGCAAAAGATGGACAAGCATTGCTTTATGTAGTTACAGATGACAATAAGAGGCCTTTTAGGTTGGTATTGAACTGGTTTTGCTATAATAACTGTATTTGATTCTATTGGATAGCTGGAGATGAAATTGACGTTTGATTGTTTTCAGGTTATATTGTAGCATGCTTGGATCAAATGGAGAAGATGTGCTGCTTTTAGAGGAACCTCGAGAAAATATTTATTTGAATATAAGACACACTAAAGATTTTAGGTTTTTGACTGTGAATACTGAAGCAGAATAGAATGGGAATTTTTCTCAATGATCCATTAGGTACAATTTGGGTACATATATATACACAAGGATCTGTGGAGAAGATCCTGATTTCTAGGAGCTAATTTACACTATTTAAGGAAAGTAAATTACAGCTATATACAAAAGATTAATATCCCTAAAATATAGATCCACAATTATAGGAAACAAACAATTCCCATATGCGGCTGGTTTGAATTCCTACACTCCCCCTCAAACTAGGCGGTGTATACTCATTAAATCAAGTTTAGAACTTAGCTCAATGAAGTTCAGATGAAAGAGTGCCTTTGTGAGGATGTCTGCTGCTTGAAGCCGAGATGGAACATGCTTCAGTGATATAACATTGCTTTCTATCTTTTCACTGATGAAGTGTCGGTCGATCTCAACATGCTTTGTCCTATCATGATGGACATGGTTCTTGGCAATAGCTATAGCTGATTGGTTGTCATACGTCATATCTATAGGACCAGAAATGCTAACTTTGAGTTCATCCAGTAGCCGTTTTAACCAGATTCCTTCACAAATACCCTGAGCTAAGGCTCGAAATTCTGCCTCAGCACTACTACATGCCACCACCTGTTGCTTCTTACTCCGCCATGTCACTAAATTTCCCCATACATAGGAGCAATACCTTGAAGTTGATTTTCGGTCAATGGGGGATCCAGCCCAATCTGCATCCGTGTAGACCTCTAAGGAGCGATTAAGAGTCTTTTTGAACATTAGCCCCTTTCCAGGATCCTTTTTAAGATATCTAAGAATACGGTAAACTGCCTCCATGTATGTTTCTAAAGGATTACTTAGAAATTGACTAACAAGGCTCACTGCAAAACTTATATCTGGACGCGTGTGAGTCAAATAGATCAACTTCCCTACTAAGCGTTGATATTGTCCTTTATCCACAACCATTTCTTCAGTTCGAGGCTTCAACTTTGTGTTAGGGTCCATAGGAGTGTCCACTGGCCTACACCCACTCATACCTATTTCCTTTAAGAGATCTAAGACATACTTTCTCTGGGAAACTGAAATTCCCTTACTTGATCTAGCCACTTCCATTCCTAAAAAATACCTCAGATGTCCCAAGTCTTTGATTTCAAACTCTTTGGATAAGAGAAGCTTAAGCCTCCTCATTTCCTCTTCATAATTCCCTGTGAGAACTATATCATCAACATACACTATTAACACAGTAATCTTACCGTTTGTAAAGTGTTTGATGAAAAGAGTATGATCAGCTTGAGACTGTAAGTAGCCATCTTGTTTTAGCACCCTTGTAAATTTGTCAAACCATGCACGGGGTGATTGTTTGAGCCTGTACAGTGACTTTCGAAGCCTACAGACTTTGCCTCGTGTACAATTAGTTTCGAACCCAGGAAGTATATCCATATATACTTCTTCTACTAAGTCTCCATTCAAGAATGCATTTTTCACATCAAGTTGAAATAAAGTCCAATCTTGGTTCACAGCAATGGATAACAAAACACGTACTGTATTGAGTTTAGCTACTGGAGCAAATGTTTCCTGGTAGTCAATTCCATATGATTGAGTGTAGCCCTTGGCTACCAAGCGGGCTTTGAACCGTTCAATACTACCATCAGCCTTTTGTTTTACTGAGAAAATCCACTTGCACCCAACTATTTGCTTTCCAGGTGGTAGGGTTGATAAGATCCATGTGCCGTTCTTCACAAGGGCATGAAATTCTTCTAGAGTAGCAACTCTCCATTCAGGGACTTTTAATGCGTCATGAACTGTTCTGGGAATCTGGATTTTGTCTGGAGTAGTCACAAATGCTCTGAATTTCTGGGAAAGTTTGGAGTAGGTCATATAGTTTCGGATAGGATGTTGTGTACATGAGCGAACTCCCTTTCTCTGAGCAATAGGTAGATCTAAGTCTGGATCATACCCTACCACCTTTTCAACACTGTATTCCGTGTTAGGTTCAACCTCACCTTGTGCTATTTCAGGAATTGTTGAGTTCGGATTAGACTCCTGGTTTTGCTGATTTTGAACAGGCTGTTGAGGTTGTTTTCTCCTAGTATAGACTTTTACTGCCTCATCAGGATCCACCTCTACCAAACCCATGTAAAATGACTTATCTGATGGTGAATTGGGTGACTCAAATGTGTTTGGAAAGCCAGTTGCTATCTATGGGCTTGTAGGTGATGGAGACTCCGAGTAGGGTAAGTGAAGAATTAGATTGAGTGGATTTGGACTTGGACTTGGACTTGATACCGGATCAATGAGAGAAGTCCAATCCCAATTTTGTGATTCATGTGTGTTTATCTCCCCCTGAATTATGGAATTGGGAAAAAATGGATTATCTTCAAAGAAGGTGATATCCATGGTGTGATAAACCTTTTTGGTGAGAGGAGAAAAACATTTATATCCCTTCTTGTTTGGTGAGTATCCAATGAAGATGCATTTGAGTGCTCTTTCATCAAATGTACCTCGGCTATGAGGGTGGATATGAATAAAAGTAGTGCATCCAAAAAATTTAAGGGGAATTTGGGAAAGTAGGTGTGAGTTTGGATAGAGATCAAGGAGTGATTGCATTGGAGTTTTGAATTTGAGAACATGTGAGGGCATTCTATTAATGAGATAGGTTGCAGTAAGAANGTGAGGGCATTCTATTAATGAGATAGGTTGCAGTAAGAACAGCCTCGCCCCAGAATTTCTTAGGTACATTAGACTGGAAGAGTAATGAACGAGCAACCTCAAGTACATGACGATTTTTGCGTTCTACCACACCATTTTGTTGAGGTGTGTCCACGCATGAGCTTTGATGGACAATTCCATAAGATTGGAGATAAGGACTAAGAATGGAGTTGAAGAAATCTCGGGCATTATCAGTTTTAAGGACTTGAATTTTGGCTTGAAATTGAGTTTGAATCATGGCATGAAAAGTTTTAAAGATTGGGCTGGTTTCAGATTTATCTTTCATGAGGAAGGTCCAGCTTAATCGGGTATGATCATCAACCAACAATGGAAACCACCTAGCTCCAGAAATATTAGGGATTTTGGTTGGCCCACAGATATCACCATGGATAAGAGAAAAAGGGAGAGTTGGTTTGTATGGTCGTGGGATATATGTACTTCGAGTGCGCTTTGATAATTGATAGACATCACATTGAAATAACTTTGCATCTTTATTAATGAATAATGATGGAAATAAGCGTTTCAAATACAAGAAATTTGGATGACCTAGACGGTAGTGCCACAACATGATTGCACTTGTTTTATTGGACTGGCCTATTGACTCATGACTCTGAACTGACCAACACTGGGGTTTGACACTATTCTTATTATGACTCTGAGCTGGGACAGAAGAAGAGTCTACTTTGAGGAGATACAAGCCTGCACAAAGTTCAGCATTGCCAATCATCTTCTCCGAACCCAAGTCCTGAAAAACACAAGATTTGCCAAAAAATTTAGTCTCCCAGTGAAGATCACAATTTATTTTGCTTACAGAGATTAGATTACAATCAAGATCAGGTACAAATAACACTGAGTGTAGAATAAGATTGTGTGAGAGATATATGGTTCCTATTCCAGCAACTCTTGAGCGTGAACCATTGGCAATACGCACCGTTTGATAATCCTGACATGGAGTATAAGTTGAGAACAGTGATCTATCACCTGTCATGTGATCTGATGCGCCTGAATCTACTATCCAAGATGTTGAAGGTAACTGTGCCACATGAAGTGCCTGGTTTCCATTATTGTGCACAGATCCGTTCCCTGTCCCAATTGGTAATGGATTGGCTGACAGATTTGCCTTGCTAATCAGGTGCTGAAGCAGCTCCAACTGGTCCTTTGTGAAAGGGATTTGGTTTTGCGATTTAGTTTCTTCTATGGAGACTGCATTTACCCGACTCTCACGATCGCCAGCAGTCCTGTTTGGCTTCCAATCTGGTGGCTTTCCATGTAACTTCCAGCAGGTTTCTTTAACGTGGCCTGGCTTCTTACAGTGGACGTACCAAGGACATCCCCTTCGTGGTCAATTTTCACCGGAGGTCTGAAACATCCCGCGAGCGGCACAGGCAGCAGGTTCGACGATGGACACATGGTCTTTGGCAGCAGCAAGGGCTGAGCCATCAGTGGATGCAGGTATATTAGAATGTCCCATCATGACTCGTTTTCGGCTCTCCTCTCGACGTACCTCGAAAAAGACTTCTCGGAGACTTGGTAGGGGCTTGGTTCCGAGTATTCGACCTCGCACCTCATCAAAGGACTTATCAAGACCCATTAGAAACTTGAAGATACGTTTGGTCTCCACTATTATCTTGAAATAGGTACTGTCTTCAGGACATTTCCATTCGTAAGATTCAAAGAGGTCCAACTGTTGCCAATACCGCGTAAGAGTGGTGAAGTAGGTGGTGACTGTGTTTTCTCCTTGCCTTAGATCATGTATGATACTCTCTACATGGAAGAGTTCAGCAGTATTCTCACTGGTAGAGAAGGTGTCACGGGCTGTATCCCATATTTCCTTGGCTGTAGTGTAGAGGAGGAAGTTTTCACCTATCTCGGTAGTCATTGAACTAATTAACCAGGACATGACCAGGTTGTTTTCTGCCCTCCAAACTTTGAATCTGGGATCACTTGAACTTGGTTGGACAGCAGCACCTGTAAGATAATCATCTCGGCTTCGTCCACTGATAAACATCATTATGGATTGAAACCATTGGAGATAGTTGTGGCCATTGAGTTTTTGGTTGATTATAGAGGTAATATTGTTTTCGGGAGTGGTATGAGTGATCTGAGGATTGACAAGAGTATTGGGAGGATTGATATCCATGGTGGGCGAGATTTCGAGAGAGAGAGAGAGAGGTAGAACTAGATTGTCACAGAGGTGACAGAGAAATGTGAAATGAGAATAGGTTAGGGCCGG